AGGTTTAACAAATTTGTGAAATCTTGTTTGGTAGCTCTTGGCATCTTTTATAGAAGTAAAAAAATGAAAAATATTAAAAATATAACCAAATATTAATAGTATTTCAAAACTCTGTACCGTTTCCAATATTTATAAATACCCTTTGTTTTAATTTCCCATTATTTACTGTTTTTATTTGTTTTATTTATTATTTTCCTTTTTGTTGAAACAACAACAGTACACAGTTTAAAACCCTTAAAAACCAATACGGTTTCAATTATTGAACAAAAAATCGGGAAAGCACCCAAATATTGGGTAAATCTTCCCCGATTTTCCAGGTTTGTTATTTGGTTAGTGATCCTTTTTGTGATTAAATGTGAATATAATTGCATGTTTCAAACAAACACAAGATAAACGACAATATAACAATAAACAAACGATGTGATGAAGGACACCACTGCATTAAATAATGCAACACTTAAATTAATAATAAGTTTTTGTTTATTTAAACAATTCAAAAAGTCATCAATAACATATAAACAACAAACATTTGGAAAACAAGTTCGCTAATTACTACATTATTAACATGTTGGAGCTTCCTTTTTTCAGTTTTATATGAAAAAAATAAAAAAGTTGATGTTTTATTTTTTTGCCGAGTATAAAAAATAAAAAAAGAGGAAAAACCTGTTTGAGCTCTTTTGTGGATTTTTATCCTTAAGATTTTAGTAAAATTAATATTCTAATGATAACAAAAATCACTAAAATATTCGAATTATTGTTATTATGCACCATCTCCAAGTGTTTCAATACTTAAAGCAATTTGCTAAGACGACGAACATTTGCAATGTACGTTTTGTTGCCACTGAAGCCAACTTTTCATCAACTTGATTCACATTGATTCATAGAGTGTTTATATTATAAATATACATGCTTTCAATTGTAGATATTAGTACGTCTGTTTTTTCTAACAAGATTAACTTCGACAACCGTCCCTAAAATTAAGTATCTTTATCATAATATTCAACATTAAACATATTACTCAATTTGATATTGATGTAAAAAACTTTTAAAAACGAACTGTTTTTGTTTAAACCTTTAGTTTTTATAATCAAAGGCGTCTTTTCCATCAAGGACTCTATCAGATATTATCGTTTTGATTTTTGGAGATTATTCAGTGAAATTGTTATTCAAAAAATTATGTTTTGGTAGTTCGGCAAAATAGTATGTTGTGTTTCAATGAAAAAAATTTCTGGGAAAAAAACACAAAATAAACTCCAACGTGTTAAATAAAATAAACAGTTAAAAAATAAATAAAAACAATTGTCTAATTTTTAATGATATTTTTTCAATGCGAATTTTCTTATTCATACTTTTCAATTTTATTTGATACACAACTTGGTGATTCTGTAAACATAGACATAAAATTATAAAGTTATGTTTTCATTTTTTTGGCAAAATTTGAGTTATGGTAATCAAAATTTTGATCGGAAGTTTAGTTTGTTTTTTATATTTTTCAAGTAAATTTAAATGCAAAATTTTTTTTGTCAAGTAAAATTTTAAAAAATCGGGTTCGTTATTTTGTTTTTACGAGTAAATGTTTATAACAAAAAATGAGGGTTAAGCAAAAAATATTAATTTAGGAATAATAAGCCCAATAAATTGGGACGTCCCAGTACAGAGTTTTGAAAAAAAGTTTTGTTCTGCACAATGCATATAAAATCAAAACATTGTAAATGTGTCTTGTTTAATAATTGTGTGCAGAAGGTTAATAAAAAATTGGATTCTCTTTTCTATTGTTTTTGTGAATGAATTAATAAATTCAATTCATTTAAACAATTTAACATTTTTTACGTTTATTGAATGATTATTTTAAAAACTAAGACTCTTTTATGTTCATATGGTTTTAAGTACTAATTAATTTTAAAAGAAGCATTTGTGGTCTAAGGGCAGAATTCCACCCTTCCAAGGTGGAGATCCGGGTTCGAGTCCCGGCAAATGCATTTTTGTAAAAATATTAATTAGTTGTAAAATTTTTACACTCCAAGATGTTAATATTCAATCACCACATTCAATTGAATTTGGATATTAATTCAATTCTTGCTGACAAAAAAATGAATTTTTTTAGAGTTGTTGATTCAGTAAATTTTATAATTATTAGACACCAAAAAATCACTTTCAATTATATTTTATTGGATTTAAATCAATTACAAAAAACAATCTTTTCGCACTTTCATAATTTTTTTGATTATTTTTATTTAGAAACGTATTGAATAAAATCCAGTTAATTAAAACATATGTATCATTTTACAGGTTTTAAGCTTCACTCTTAGTTGTACACATTTTTAATTATTAATATAACAAAGTTAATATCATTACAAAACATTCGAATGAATAAATAAAAAATAAACAATAGGGTTGAAAAAATATTGTTTGTTGATATGTTTTTGGATATAAATATTATGTGATGGAAGATTTTATTTATGATTTTCTATTATTTTCAATGATTGTGACATTTTTTTTGTTCAATAAAAAATCATAAATAATGTAATTATATATTACAATACATTTTTTGTTATTTCACCACAACGTTATCATCAATTATTATACAACAAATTTAGTTAACAATTATAAACAGGTGTTATTAATTATTTTATTTTTACTTGCTTATCATCATATATTTTCATCTCACAACACTGAAAATCAAACCATTGTATTTCTTTAACACCACAACAATTATGAAAATTATATCACAATTAATTTAATTATTACTTGTTGATGATTTAAAAAAGTTTAAAAAATATTGTTTGCGACTACACTTTTAGACATATGAAGCAATTTAAATAAAACATTAAAACTTTCAAACGTGTAACTTCATGCTAACAAAGAAAAAGATTCTATCAAATTGAAAATATGTATAAGTTTAAGCATTATATAATTTCGGCTTAAAATTTATACAAATGTATATATATTAACTGTATCAATTATCTTCGTCCAAAAGTTTTGATTAAGATTGTACAACAACTCGGAGTAATATAATTTGAATTAAAGGGGGGAAATATGTCATATTTTTAATATTGTTGTTATGAATGGTATTTAAGGGATTCATGAGGATTGTTAATTTTTCTGGTGATGGTAAATATCTTAAACATAATTTCTTTCAATTTCGATTTTTTTGCCTAAGATCAAAAAGGTATATTTTGAAACACATGATTTTCTTTAAAAATGCTATTTATGGATTTTTTGAAAGATGATTCTTTCAGTTGATTTTTACAAAAAAATAATCTATTTCCATTTTTTGATTTACCACAAGACTAACTTTGGTTTAAATGAAAACATTTGACAGACATTTAAATTATCGAAAAAGTCGATTTTTTTTTATCAAAATCACAAAACAAATTAATCGAACAATTTTTAATTTTTTTTAAAAATATAATTTATTATAAATCAATTCATGATATTTCAAACAATAAAAATTGATAGCAAATAACGTATTAATAACGTATACTCTATGCGATGACAATTTATGTATTTGCGCAAATTCAAAAAGAGAGGTTTTGGATATCGATAAAACAACAATTGATAAATAAACAAAATTTTAAAATAAAATCATTTTTGTTTTAAACGGTTTTATTTATATTTCAAAACATATATACACAAGAAATATATGTTTATATTATTTTTTTATACATTATCAACTCTCAATAAAAATGTGTTCAATTTATTAATCAATTTTATATATTATTTGGCGTTTTTGTTGTGTTTTGACGATTTTTGACATAATCAATTAACAAAACCCACTTTATAATAATTCTTTGATAATTTTATTTATAGAATTTTAAATCAATAATGGCAGTGCTATAAATATCTCTGAGGATGGTAAGTCGTGTAACAAACAGACATTATCAACACAGACTTAAACATCTAAAAAGTGAAATGACGTGTTCCCATATTCAAAAATAGTAACTTACTCAATATACATTTCAGATAGACGTAAAAGTGTAAACTTTCTATTTCTGTCATCCTCAGAAAATAATTGCCATCCTCAGAACTGTAAATTTGTTTAAAACACAAGTTAATATCAAAATGAAACAATCATATTAAAATGTACACAATATGAAAAACTTTGTTATTATAATAAATTTGAATAATTGCATAAATTACAAAATTATTAATAAATTTGTTTTTTTAAATCACATTTTTAAAAAATCAGTGTTTTCGACTTTTTCAATTTTCATTTTGATTTGAAAAACAATTATCAATTTAAATGTAAATTTTAATTATTATGTAATAAAGACGGATTCGGAAATAATTTCAATAAGTATATAATCATAATATGAACAAGTTGAATTCACACTTTGTTGTTTCCCGTTTCAAGTTCGCGAGATATAATTATTGTTTTTGTTTACTGATTATTGTGGCGATTTTTTGATTGTATTTAATTTTTTGGCATTTATGACAAATTATTACCATTATTTAAAAATTGAACTTTGACTCGAAATATTAAGTGTAAATTATAACTTGAGTTATGAGAGTGGGCTTTATGGGGAACTGAACCTTATGGATTTGTTTTTTGTATCACCAGAAAAATATTTTTTAATAAGGATAGCTTTAATCCTGAGGATACACCTTATCCTCAAGAACCCCTTTACTAAATAATTTTTTTCTTTACCATTTATTTGATTTTCTTTTTTTTGAGTATTATGAATATAGTTAATTATGGTTCATTTTTATAATAAATTATATAATAAATTTATAGTTGTTAAACTGTGGATATACTAAATATAATTTTTGAATGAGTATAGTTTTTTTATAGTAAAACGTCGAATATTTAATTATGAATAGTTAAAGTAAGTTAATCGTTATTATTAATTAATTATTTGAAATGTCCACCAGCTGCAGTTTTCTGGAATATTGGTCTTCTCAATTTAAGGTTCTTAATAATCATACCTAATCACATATCAAAATTCTTGTTGACAATGTCGACGATTTTTTCATCAGGAATAACACCAGTCTTGTATGTGTCAACATAGACACTCAATGGATGTGAAATACCAATGGCATAACTCAACTGGACAAGTGGCTCTCTTGCACAACCCAGCATTCACAAGACTCTTTGCAATCCATCTAGCACAATAAGCCCCACTTCTGTCTACTTTCGATGAATCTTTTCCAGAGAAAGCTCCTCCACCACGAGCTCCCCATCCTCCATAAGTGTCGATAATAATCTTTCTTCCAGTGAGTCCAGCATCGCCCATTGGACCTCCAATGACAAATCTTCCACTTGGATTATTGAATCTGAGTGTGTTGCTATCAATCAACTCCATTAGAATGACCTTCTTAGTGACTTCTTCTTCGAGTGTCTTAGAAATCTCTTCATTGGTGACTTCCGGAGAGTGTTGTGTAGAGATGACAATGGTGTGGACTCAAATTGGAGTTAAATATCGGTCATTGTTTTCATATTCCAAAGTGACTTGTGTCTTCGCATCTGGTCTCAGCCATGATATAATTCCCTTCTTCCTGCACTCTTCAAATCTCATCACCAATTTTGAAGCTAAGACGTGTGTCAATGGCATCATTTCCTTCGATTCATCAGTGGCATATCCAAACATAATACCCTGGTCACCCGCTCCAATGTCTTCGTTTTTCTTGGCCACGTGGACTCGGAATGAAGATCTGTGTGACTATCTTTGTCGGGTTCGCTGTGTGGGCTATGATCACTTTGGCCATTTTAATTATTATTATTGTCATTCTTTGCTTTTAAACCAGTAACCAAACAATAAGTGTAAAACAATTAATTAGAATTTAGTAAAAGCATGTCATTTTGTGTTTAAAGACCACTCAGAGAGAAAAGCTGCATAATCATGGTAATCATACATCTATTGTCATCATTGTGGCGATTAGATGACAAATTTTTTTTTGTTTTTATACCCAATCTTTGTTTTTGACAAATATTTTTTTTTATTATGCTAATACTATTTAAACTATACACATTTTGAAAATACCAACTAAAAATCAACTGAATTTTTTTATAAATACTTTAATTTCCTATTTTTCTATTTCTATTTTTTAAAAAGGACAATTCTAGTAAATATAATAATTTTATTTTAAAATAACTACAATCAATAACTTATATTTTTATACGACAGATAGATAACTGGTTTGTCCTTCATTTAAAAATATATTCTTGAATTTGGATTGTTTGTGGAATTAAAACCCAATTTTACATTTTACTCTATGACAAATGCGTATTTTTTGATTATGGAAAAAGAGACATTTTTGATTGGTATTGTTGATTTACAAAAATATGTTATAATTTATAATCATTTCATTGTATTATAATATATTATTATTTTATTATTAAATAGACAATATTTAAGAATTGAAAAAGATATTTTAATGACTTTTGGCTGGAATTGTATTTTTTTTAAACTATAGGCCATTTCAGTGTTGAACCACTTCAATTAGGCAAATTTGGTTGTAATTTCTTCGCTGAGTTGCCTAAAATTTTTCAAATGGAAGTAATAAATCTTTTTCTTTTTTTGGTTTGAAGGGTTTTCATGAGTTTTGGCAGTGTCATTACCATGGGTGGCACATGGTAATATTCAGTTCGTCCTATTTCGACTTCTTCTATATTACAACGTTCCAAGTCCAATTTCCCATATAATGTTCCAAATCGTAAATATACTTAGAGCAGATTTTCATTTTGTATAAAATTGGACAACTGGCCTTCATGACACTATTTTTTAATCCATTTTTTAAATTTAATCTGAACGAATCGATAGAATTACAGAAATCGTTGTTATCAACTAAAACGTTTTTATTTGTTCTACACAAACTTCCGTTGTGAACTTGTTAGAAGTAAAATCTTCAAAAATTGTTCTTCTTATTACGAGTTGTTTGATCGCTTCGTCGACATTAATAGAAAAGTAAATACATTGATTCCCATCATGGACATGTGTAAATAACACAGTTTTAAGTGTTTTTGGAATGTGATTGTTTACAGTATATACATTTATTTCTTTTATCTGAACTTTTGTATGAGAAAAGTCGATTGTTTTGACTTACCAATTAATTTGAAATATCAAATTACACTTCGAGAACAGACTCCTTAAAGTGGAAAATCAACTTGTATTTTTAATGTGATATATGTGAGAGAAAGAAGATAAGACAAATCAAAAATAACCGACTTGGAATTAAACACACTTTCTGTTTTGATACAGATATATTCCCCAACATACTACTAAACATTATTTACGTCCAGAAATTTACATTCAAAGGTGTATGTTAAAAATGTATTGGAATATTGGTAAACAACATTTTAAAAGGTTGACACCACATTTTTGTGTATTTTGAATAAGAAATAAATCAAGCCTGTGAAAATTCAACTAAAGAAGTAAAGTTGTTGAATTCTGGAAATTCAAAGTATAACTTTTTTGTTTGTTTTTTGTAAGTTTCGAAATTCTGAAATAAAGTTGGTGCCAGTTTGAAAAAGAGTTGAATGAGGACACAACATTTGTTCGAGTTCTGGGGAAAAAATGTAAAAACGATTAAAGTGAAAGAGTGTTGGAAAATGTTATTGGGTTTGTTTTAAAACAAAAAATGGCAGAGGATGTGTGATGTGCCATAAATAAAAAGTTTTTTCCATAAGGTTTGTTTGAGAGACTGTGTTTGTGTTTGTTGCATAAAAAGCATATCATCAGTTATGATGTGCTACATTTTTATAAGTAATTATTTTAAAAAAATATTATACATTTTATATCTATAAATACAAGAATGTGTTTGGTGCATTAAAATTAATTCAATTTTTTTTAATGTTTAATAATCAAATTTTTCACGTTTTAATACACATAGGATTACTTCATCAATGTACAGTAGGGAAAATGGACCCGGTACTTTAGAAATGAATCCGAACCTTTAGTAAAAACTCCTAATGATTAGGGCTTCTTCCAGTTGTAATAAATGTGCACAATTTGGAAAGAACCAATCATTTTAACCCTTCGAAAAAAACTGAAACTTTACAAAATTGTCCAATCAATTTAAACTAATTTCATTTTTCTTTTTTTCAACATTTTTGTTATTTTCTCTCTATATTTCATTGCGCCAAAACACCGTTAAATCACGGGAAATACAGATTTAAACAATTATGAAATGTTGAACATTTTCTATTATAATTAATGTTAAAAACCTTGTTTATAGAAAATGTTTTTTCTTCTTAAATAATCTTTTCTAATTAACAATCAACAAGTAAAATAATATACTTGTGAATTAAGATTATTTCATCATATCTTTAACTTTGGACTTCATGAAAATGGTATTAACAGTCCAAGTGTCTTTTAACAAATATTGTGATAGTGAATTTATAGTTATTTCATGATAATATTTTGACAACCTATGATGAAAATGAACCACTTTGCATGTTTATTTTATCTACTATGACACTATATAATAATTTTATGTTGTAATACCAAATTGTTCATGTTTTAATTCCAAACAGTTTAAAATGTTATTACATTTTTTGTTTTTAAATGTTATTTTGAAAAAATAATTCTTTATAATATTAATAGTTTTTAATAGCTTTATTATATATTCAGGGTTAATAAGTGATTAACTAAAATTTTTAATTATTTAAAGAAAAAATCGAAAAAAACAATTTATTGCATACTGTTTGTTTCATTCACATCTGTTTTAGTAATCTGTTGTCATCCATTAACACAATAGAAAGCAACAACCTGAGTGATACAAGACCTCTCAAGTATTATTACTATGAGAGGTGTCTATAACTGGGTTTTAAAATCCATTTAAAAAAACCAAAATATGCTGCGGCTTGGGATAAGAGGTGATGATCGACGAGAAAAAGACATCCTCTTAAAATTTAAACAAATTGTTGTATTTTTTGTTATTTGGATTTAGTTATTGGTATTTTCTTTAATGAATAATGTTATTGATAAAATGTTATTTGAATTGTGTTATTTGAATTTTTGTTATTAAAATAATGTTATTGCCTATAAAGGGTTTTGTCCCAAAAATGTATTTTTTTACCGTTTCACATTTTTTACTAAAGTTGCCCTAATTGTTCTAATGATCCTAGTTCATTTCTCCTACTGTACTTAAAATATCTATTTATAAATAGTAATTAACATTAATATTAATATAAATTATCTTTAGTTTATTTTTTTTTTCAAATTATGAATAAAAACTAGTAATTAATGGTTTTTTGTTGTTTTGGAATAGTTAAAAAAATCAAAAAGAATGGTTAAGCTATAGTTTTTATATAATAAATGTATAGTTTTAGAAATTGTTTATTTTGAACAAGGACAAAGAACAGTTGGAATAAAGAACGAGTAAAATGTGGCCCGAATAAGATGAAGAGGAAAAGACACTTATGATTCGGAAAAACAGGTCGAGAAGTAGCAGAACATTTTTTGTTGTCAATTTTTAGACATTTCTGTTGTTTTGAATAATACATAAGGTAAGTCCCAGTTTTGGATATGGACAAATACGCGTTCAAATAAAAATGTAAAATTTGACTTTTTGAATAAATATTTATAATTAGCTAAATATGAGATGCTATGAAAATTATCCCAGGACGAGTTCTCCCATTTTTGTTGTATTTAATAAAAATGTTGTTTAAATAATAATTACAATCATTTATTTGTTTTATTTAAAACTATTTTAAGCTACTATATAGTGTTGAAAGCATAAAAACAAGTTTTTAATATTATAATTGAACAAACATGGTTATTTTTTTTATCAATAATATCAATAAACATGTAAATATATTTTTGGAAATTTTAATCGAGTTATTTAAAATAAAAAACAAAAAATGCATTTTAAACACATTTCGCTGCACAAATCAATAAAACATATAAATAGTTTATTTTACTATACTGATGTTGTCACAAAGGCAAAAAAGATTCAATAATTCATCATCAGCAACAAAAATATAATCAAACTATTTTAAATAGAAACTAAAACATAATATAATAAAAGTTAAAAAAAAGATTTTTGTATTAGTAGGTTTTTTGTAACGTGTTAGTTATGTTAAGATTGCCAAAAATGTGTATAAGGCATTTTAAGATTTATTTTTTTGTTGTTTTTTGTTGTTTTTATTGAAAAAAAGATTAATTATTTTGTGTTGTGTTTTTCTTTCGAATATATATTAATATAAACGTGAAGTATTTATATATTATTTTAAAATAAACATGGATAATATAAGTAAATCGGTTATAAAATAGTTCAAAATCCAAAACTAATACCAAATATTTATTACAATCGAACAAAACATACAACAAATAAAAATCGTTTTATATTATTATACATTTAA